GCCTCCCCCACCTTGCTAACTCCCCTGTCACCAGCACAGCAGCACAACACAGGGATGTACAAAACTGTGAACGCTTTTTATTTCGCTGCTGGAGTGAAACCACCATTATTTCATAAAACTCAAAAAAACCCCAAACAAAACAACCTCAAAAAAAAAAAAAGTGATTACTAAAAGGCATACATTTTTTTTTCTTCCTCCTTTTTACACAAGATGTAAGTAAACAGACAAGATTCTTTTTAAAAAGGTTATAAAGTGTCAAGATCCTATACCTCATCTGCATATTCCGAGTGATGCCGTCTTGATACAAAAAGCATGGGGGGATAATAACTTAGCTATGGCTCAGACCAAAAAAAAACACAAAACCAATTAAAAATAAAATAAATTAAAAAAAAAGAAGTCATCTGGGCTTAATCTACACACTACTACGGTTGCCCAAGGAGTTAAAAAGGAAAATATGCAGTTCTTTTGTTGCACAGAAAGAAACAGCAGGGAAGGCGAGAGTTCATTGGGAGATTGTTGTCTGAAGGGAAGCAAATTACCCACTCCCCGGGAATGTTGGCCCCCGTGACCTCCCACTGAGCAAAGGAACTAGCCACATTTTTCTCCCTCCAGACAGTATCCCCTCCAAATCCACCCATCCAACTGCACCTACCCAGCCCTCTGGAAGTGAACGAGATCAAAGACCCTGGAAACCACTGGGAAGTCACGAAATCTCCCTGCTTGCTTTCCCACTGGGACTAGTAAAAAATCAACAAGCCCAATGAAAATTAAAAAAAAAAAAGAAAAAGGAAGAAAAAAGGGGAAAAAAGCAACTCTTTCTATTGTAGATGGAGCAAAAGTCTTTGCTTCCTCAGGAAATCTGTTCCTCATAAACCTCCTCATCTGAAGCTCTCAGCCCAAGCACCAGTGCCAGCCTTATTGCAAGACTCAGAACATGAAGTTGCAAATGCAAAGTCTTTAAATACGTGTCACCAGACATGTAAGAGGACACAACTACCAGTCCCTGCTTGGATTTATTCCCCTAGGCAAGGTTCAGATGCGATTGATTCCTGGGCAAAGCCTAGAAGCTCCTGGTTCATAGTTAGGGCATCTTTCCTTTGCCGTTCCTTAGGTTTCCAAAGCTCAACCAGTTTGGAGCCCTGTCCCTGTCAACTAAAGAAAGATGGTGGGTTTCCAAGGAAGGGGTGAGGGAGGTGGATAGTGGTGTTGAGGTATAAAACCCAATTTATGCCTTTGCTTCTGCAGAAGAGGGCAGGACAGGGTGGCTGGTTTGTAGCCAAAGCCATGGGGGTGTCTGTTCTCTACATTTGCCAAGACCCAATGGAGACAAATGGAGCAAAACCAGAATTGGCAAGTATGTCAGATTTTTAAGGCTCTCTTGTCAACATTTTGGCATCTGAGGTGAAACAAGGATTAGTGTACAAGGAGAGACTCCAAAATAGCCCAAACCTTGAGCCCATGGCTGCTTAGGTCTGGCTCTGCTGCTTCGTGTCTACTGAGCTCCAACTTCCCCTCTTCCCCAACTGTCCCAAGACTGTTGTGAAGGACCTGAGCTCTTCCTTGAGATTTCTAACCCAAAACTCAGTTGGAAGACCCCTCAATTTCCCCAGCCTGTTATGTTTACATAACCCTCTCTAGGCTGCAACATTGAGGGGCTGGTACCTCAGAGGCAGGAGCCCAAGTTCACATCAAAAAATCTCATGTATTTGGCAGTTCAACCCAGAGAAACCTTGGAACGGGTTCAAAACCTCCATGCAAGGAGGTACCCTGTCCATGAAGCAGCACATGGAAGGTGATGGTTCCAGAACAGGGGGAATACATACATTGGAAAAGGAAAAAAGGAAGAAATCAGGACCATTAAAGCAGCATGGTTTGGAGGATTTTTGCAGTGACTCACAAAACTCAACAGCATCAAGATGCTGCTCTACCAGAGGTGCTCAGGATTTGGCCACATGGATTGTACCAGGTCAAGGACTAATCTTACACTAGAAGCTCCCTACTTCTAAGGTGGTTGGGTTGATGCTACATTAAGCAAAGGAGCACTACAAAGCCTGTCCCTCTCGTGTTCCCCCAAACAGGCCCACCAAGCTGAGATTTGAGTGCAGTCCCATCAGAGCTCAGCACTGAGCACCTCCACCATCAAACCCTGCATGGAGAAGAGTTCCTGTGGCCAAAGGAGGCTGAACTCAAGCCCCTCTGTCCCCATCCTGACCTCAACTCAAAAGCATCGTGGCTGAAGCCCTGGACTACTTGCCCTGGGCAATCCACCATGTGATGCTCTCAGGAGTGCTGCTGAGGGAAACACTTCTTCCTTCTCTTGCCAGGGCAGAAACATTTCCAAGCCTGCAGAGCAGCTGTTTCCCAACACTTTATCCTAAACTCTTCACAAGTCATGGCACAGCCTGGTGTGACTGGGGAACACATGGGGCTGTGAGGTCTCCTGGCTAAGAGGGATTGGGGCCATCCCCACTGCAATGCCAAGACACCTCCTGCTGCTCCTGGGGATGAAGCAGCACCTATTTTAGCAGCAAGAGGACACAATGGTGGCAGGAAGGGATGGACAGTGAAATAGCTGTAATAGAAGATCACATCTTTTTATCAGCCCAGTTTCTCACCCTTCCAAACCAATGCAGACCCTTTCACTGTTGCTGCATTCCCCATGAAACACAGGATTCACAGAATGGTTTGGGTTGGAAGGGACCTTAAAGATCATCTAGTTCCAACCCCCCTGCGTGGGCAGGGACACCTCCCACTAGAATCAACAGCCTGGAATGGGGCAGGAGAAACTCAAGACTGAAGGCTATCCCACCATGGGATTGGACAGGCCTGAGCTGTGTAGCATGACAGCTCTGGGACCATGGTTGGAGGGTCCATGCATTGTTCCTCACCATGGCCTGTCCCATGGGATGGACATCCCTGCCATTCAGCTGGGCTGGCTGCCAGTGAGAAAGGAGTGGTGCTGGAAATTGCTCCAAGCTCCTCCTCTTCCCATGTGTGGTGGCACAAAGCTGTCCCCTGCCCTTCTGCAGGTACTGAGGGTGTCTAACCAGCTTTCCTCACCACTTATCCCAAGAGATGAACCCTCTGAAGCAAACGTCTCTGGATGGTGTACTTTTTGGAAGGCACTCAATCCTCTGGAGATAATCAACACAGGGCACTAGAGGCATCCCAAGTTGGGCAGCCTCAAACCACAAGCTGCTGGAGGACCAGCCTTTCTTGCCCCAACAACTGTGATCCTCTGTGGCAGAGGGGATGAGCAGCACTGAGCCCAAAGGATACCTGGACACCACATGTGTGTCCCTGGTGACAGCAGACAGCAGCTGGCTGTGGGGGATCAGCCTGGGATGCCATGGGTCACCTCCTGGACTCCACAGGGAGAAAGAAAGGCCAGAGCATGTGTGGAAGACAAACAGGTTTGGTTTTTTTTAAAGTGTTTTTTTTTGTTTGTTTGTTTTCCTTTAATTAGCAAATTTCTTCTTATCCTCATCAAAAGGAAAAAAAACACAACACCCCCCCCCCCATACCCCCTCTGCACGCTCACTGCTCCACACTGAGCCCAAAGGATACCTGGACACCACATGTGTGTCCCTGGTGACAGCAGACAGCAGCTGGCTGTGGGGGATCAGCCTGGGATGCCATGGGTCACCTCCTGGACTCCACAGGGAGAAAGAAAGGCCAGAGCATGTGTGGAAGACAAACAGGTTTGGTTTTTTTTAAAGTGTTTTTTTTGTTTGTTTGTTTTCCTTTAATTAGCAAATTTCTTCTTATCCTCATCAAAAGGAAAAAAAACACAACACCCCCCCCCCCATACCCCCTCTGCACGCTCACTTCTCCAGCTGCTGCAAGTGTTCAAAGGCAAAGTTGAGAGATGTTTAATGTCCCAGCTCAGGGGCAGCTCCAAGTTCACCCCACCAGGGCACAACCCGAGGGGTTCTGGGCTGCTGGGTGCTGTGTTACAGCTGTGGGGGAGGCAGGTGCAAAACTTGGTGATGTGCCCTTGCCAGGAGCACCCAAAAATCCCAGCAGGAAAGCTGCAGCCCAGCCCCATGGCCAGCAAAGGCAGTGGTGGAGGAGGAGATGGATGTGCCCTGAGATGCACACGGTGTCCCCACGGTATGGCAGCCACCACTGAGGTTTGTGCCACCGGCTCAGCGACGGGGACGCGACAGGAGAGAACCCACCACCCTGTGCATTGAGTTTGGAAGCTACAAAGAAGAGCACCCCACCATTTGGGGGACCCAGTGCTGACCCCCCATCCCCCCTGCAGCCTGGCAAAGCTGGGTGCCTCAAAGCCCTGCCACGGTCCCTGAGTTTCCCAGCACCTCTGCCTGTGCTGCAGCAAGTCCTCAACGAGCCCCACCCCAGGGCATCAAGGCAATGAGGAGATGGGGAAGAGGAAGAAAGGCCAGGAGAAAAGGAACAGCGCTGGGAGGAATTAGCTCAGCCCTTCCTGTGGCCACAGAGCCAGCACGAAGCTACAAGCCCCCTTCACCTCTGCCTGCCACCACCACCTTCCCTCTCCAAGGCCACTTCTCCAGCCCCACCTCCGTGCCCCACTGCTGCAGCCCTTATTTACAGGGAAGAGGTGGGAAAGGGATTTTTCTGGGGGTGCTCCAGCCCTTCTGCTCCCCATCCCTCCTCAGCTGGCCCAGCCCTGCCTGCACCACCCCAAACCAAGCACCATCCAACCATCCCTCTCAGTGCAATGGGAGGGGAAAGGGAGGAGGAGGAAGGCGATGAAGAACCTTCACGTGAGTTCATTGCCTGGTAACACCAAGGGCAGGACTGCCTCCCCTCCTCGGGGAGGGCACTGCAGACAGCAGCCTTTTTTCTTGGAGGGGCTCCAGCAAGACAATCGTGCTGTGGGTGCTGGAACACGGGTGGGGATGCCCCATGTCCCTCCACCCCAGCTCTGGGGGCGGCACGTGGGGCTGGGCAGAGGGGGCGTGAGGGGGTGGGACGCGTGCGAGTGCCCGGGTGTCTGTGTGCATGGGTTTTGGCAAGAGGTCATCTGAGGTTTACATGATGCAGCATTTGTTCTTGTGGTTATGAGGGTCCTTAAATCGGAGTCTCTGCTTTGGTCGGTACTTTTCCAAGTAGGTCAGCTGCTTGCTGTTGATGGCTCCTCTGCGCTTCCTGCAGGGAGAGAGAAGGACCAGCGTGGTCAGCAGGGTGGCAGAAGAAGACCACTCAGCCCAAACCCATTCCTGTCAGGATGCTGAAGACCCATTCCTGAGGCAGGTAAGAGATTTGGGAGGCTGCAGCCTCAGTGGTCTCCCAGGGACAGAGACAGGCTCTGACCCCTGGCAGCCCTTCTTGTTCATCCACTCTGTAAGCCTTAGGACCTGGAAAGCTACAAAAGAAACACGTGGGGAGGCTGCCCAAAGCCAAAAGCCCCCCAGGGATGCTCCTGGATACCTCCCCAGCCTCCCACAGCCCTGATGCAAAGGCACAGGGTACTTGGGGCTGACACCCTAGTTTCCTCTAGGCAAAAAGAAGAGAAAAGGAATCCCAGTGCCCACGAGGCAGCCTTGGAGAGGGGCTGCTTTGTCCCCCGACACTAAAACCTCACTTGACTCAGCCTGGAGAAGAAAAGGCTCAGGGGAGACCTCAGAGCAACTTTCAGTACCTGAAGGGGCTCCAGGAAAGCTGGGGAGGGGCTTTTGACAGGAGCATGGAGTGACAGGACAAGGGGGAATGGTTTCGAGCTGAAAGAGGGGAGATTTAAATTGGACATTAGGAAGAAATTCTTTCCTCTGAGGGTGATGAGACCCTGGCCCAGGTTGCCCAGAGAAGCTGTGGCTGCCCCATCCCTGGAAGTGTCCAAGGCCAGGCTGGATGGGGCTTGGAGCAGCCTGGTCTGGTGGGAGGTGTCCCTGCCCATGCAGGGGGTTGGAACTGGATGATCTTTCAGGTCCCTTCCAACCCAAACCACTCAGTGACTCTGTGACTCACTGTCGGATGAACTGGATGGCATCTTCATACTTCATCCCGCTCTCGATCAAGGCCAGGGCAACGAGGACAGGAGCACTGAAAGGCAATGGCAGTGGTGGTGACCCCCCCAGCCTTGTAGCCCAGGGGCTGATGTCCCACCCTGGGGTGGGGGGAACACACTGTGGGACTGTAATGGTGGCACTGCCAGCACTGCTTTTAGTTCGCCTTTTCTTTCCATTTGTCTACAAGCAGTGCCCCGAGGAATGGCTGATTTTAGGGGTCAAATCCCCAGGCTGGGACTGGCAGTGGTTTGCTGCTCTTCTGTTGAGCATGAGGGCTTTGGAGGCAAATACACGTGCAAAACCTGACATGTGGTGGAGGGAGCAGCAAAACGTGGGGACTCTTGAAATGCGGTGGCTCCTGGTTGTACCCAGAATTGTTTTGCAGTATTTCCACAATGAGCTCCTAGCAAAAGCAAAATCCCTGTGGGACACTGGCAACCCAGGCCCCCTCTTGGTGTCCAGGGTTTGGCCACGAGAAGTGCAAGGAGGAGCTCAGACACCAGCCAGCCCCACCAATGTACCGAGAGGACAAGGGGCAATGGTTTAAAACTTGAAGAGGGGAAATTTTGATTAGATATGAGGAGGAAATCCTTTATTATGAGGGTGGTGAGACATTGGAACAGGTTGCCCAGGGAAGCTGTGGCTGCCCCATCCCTGGCAGTGTTGAAGGGCAGGTTGGATGGGGCTTGGAGCAACCTGGGCTGGTGGGAGGTGTCCCTGCCCATGCAGGGGGGTTGGAACTAGATGATCTTTCAGGTCCCTTCTGATCCAAACCGTTCTATGATTCTAAGAATGTCTCTTCCCGCTAAGGACACCACTGCTCCAAAACCCTGCTCCAAGGTGGAAGAGAGGAGAGCAGGCAGGTGTTGGGTGGGTTGGCAGGCAGGGTGCTGGGCTCTGACTTACCGGCCCAGGCCAGCCACGCAGTGCACGGCCACGCAGCAGCCGGGGTCTTCGCAGAACTTGGTCTTCAGCAGGTTGAGCCAATCTTCCACTATCTTGCTGGGAGGAGGCGCCCCATCATCGAACGGCCAGTCCTGCAAGGCAGGAGGAAGGTTGGGCAAAGACAGGAACATGTGTCAGACTTTGGGGAGAAACTCAGGGGATTGCTTTTTCACTCAGGGCTGTGGTGTTCTGGACCTTGGCAGCGGGGAGGTGGATGTGTGTGCAGGCAATGAGGCTCACAGTGCAGCTCCATGGGGGTGTAGCATCCATATGAGTCTAGGTCTGGGGTCCTCTCATCTCCTGTGGACAGGTTCAGCCATCAGGAGCACCTACAGGTCCTGCAATATGGTCCCTACACCCTTCTGCCTCTGTGGACTGTGGCAGCCATTGCCTGCCTAGTCCCTGTTGATGATGAAGGAACTGCAACCCCCGTCCTTATCCCAGCCAGCTCCTGCCTAACCTCTACTGACAGGCTGAGAGAGTTGGGGTTGTTCAGCCTGGAGAAGGCTCCAGGGAGATCTTAAAGCACCTTCCAGTACCTGAAGGGGCTATAGGAGAGCTGGGGAGGGACTTTTTACAAGGGCAGGGAGTGCGAGCATGAAGAGGAACAGTTTTGAGCTCACAGAAGGTAGATCTGGATTAGACATTAGGAAGAAATTATTTCCTGTGAGGGTGGTGAGACCCTGGCCCAGGTTGCCCAGGGAAGCTGTGGATGCCCTCTCCATGGAAGTGTTGAAGGCCAGGATGGACAGGGCTTGTAGCAACCTGGTCTGATGGGAGGTGTCCCTGCCCATACAGGGGGGTTGGAACTAGACGATCTGTAAGGTCCCTTCCAACTCGGTGCAGCTCCATGGGGGTGTAGCATCCATATGAGTCTAGGTCTGGGGTCCTCTCATCTCCTGTGGACAGGTTCAGCCATCAGGAGCACCTACAGGTCCTGCAATATGGTCCCTACACCCTTCTGCCTCTGTGGACTGTGGCAGCCATTGCCTGCCTAGTCCCTGTTGATGATGAAGGAACTGCAACCCCCGTCCTTATCCCAGCCAGCTCCTGCCTAACCTCTACTGACAGGCTGAGAGAGTTGGGGTTGTTCAGCCTGGAGAAGGCTCCAAGGAGATCTTAAAGCACCTTCCAGTACCTGAAGGGGCTATAGGAGAGCTGGGGAGGGACTTTTTACAAGGGCAGGGAGTGCGAGCATGAAGAGGAACAGTTTTGAGCTCACAGAAGGTAGATCTGGATTAGACATTAGGAAGAAATTATTTCCTGTGAGGGTGGTGAGACCCTGGCCCAGGTTGCCCAGGGAAGCTGTGGATGCCCTCTCCATGGAAGTGTTGAAGGCCAGGATGGACAGGGCTTGTAGCAACCTGGTCTGATGGGAGGTGTCCCTGCCCATACAGGGGGGTTGGAACTAGACGATCTGTAAGGTCCCTTCCAACTCAAACCATTCTGTGATTCTATTTTATATATTTGATATAGGTTTGTGTATATATGTATATATTTAAAAATATGAGTGAGATATATATCTGCACAGATGTGTCTCTCCATAGATACACATTGCTGTCTTTATCTTACATAGTTTCTATATAGGTACATAAACCTGTTTCTTAACATATATCAACTGCATATTTTATATATAGCATCTTGCATAGTTTCTTTGTCTAGGATAAACACATCTCCCTGTTTAAAATGTATCCTAGAGATAGGTATCTCTCTATATAAGGAATGTATATCTTAGGTATAGAAACTCAGACTGAGGGACTCCAGCCAGAAACAAGGTAAAAGGCAGAATTTGGTCTGTAAGAGAGCAGAGATGACCTACAACACACATGTAGGATGCACTATGTAGGATACACTATGTAGGATGCAGCTTTCTTTCTCTATAAGACATTACCCTACAGAGCAATAGTATCTATAGAATGACAGAGATCAGCAACTGGAACCTGTATCTAGAGAGACATAGGATCTATTATCTACCTGTATCCTAGAGGATTTAGGATACAGCTACTTCTCTCTAGGATATCCATTACACAGAGAGAGCTATACAGAAAGGACCTACACACAGAGGACCACCCAGGAGTCACAAGGCACTTCCAAGCCCTTCCCTGAATAAGGAGCAAAGCCTCCGTTTCCAGCTGGAGCTGAACTCCCTGGCAGGGCTATCACATCTGACATCATCTCCACTGACTTATCAGCCAAGATGCAGCCCAGGCAGCTGCCTGAGCTGCCTCCTTCCCTTCTCCTGCTTCCTTCCCTCCCCCAGAGCCGCACCAGCCAGCCCCTGGAAGAGCCAAAAATCCACACCCCTCTGGAAAAGATAACGTGGGGGGGAGGAGGAACCACACACACCTTCCACGTGGGGCTGGGCACTCTCCATCCCTGGATGCTTGAAAGCCCAAGGGACAGGCAGGGAGGGCAGCTGCCTGCTCAGCTGCCTGAGTCACAGTTTCGGCTGCGTGGGCAGCGCTCGTTATTCTGAGCAGCAGTTCCCCAGTTCAGCCCTGGGGCTGGGGAGCTCATCCTGCCTCACCCCAAAGATCAAGTTGGGCTTCACAAACCCTGCTCCTGGGCATCCAGGATGCTGTTTTGGGCTATCCAAAATGGGGGGGGGTGGTGTTTAGCAGCTCCCCATCCCTGCTGCCCACCTACCATGACGGTGATCCCGTCCTTCTCCAGGGGGGTCTTGTCGTAGGTCACCTCGCACACTCGCACCACCGTGGTGGCACCGTACTTCTTCAGGTCCTGGGGGGGGAAGGAGAGGTCTGAAACAGCTCCGCCAGTCACACCCCAGTTAACCTCAACTCATCCAAGCCACTTAGACCCTCATGGACCCTTAAGCAAACCTCTCCGTGGTCCATCCAGCCTGGGAAGCACAAGCAAGCATGAAATCCCAGGGCACCAGAGCTACATGGCTACAGTAGGCTTTTCACCCAGCACCTTCACAACTCCTTGGACTTCATAATCTTCAGAGGTCCCTTCTATGATTCTATGACTTATGACTGTCAAGGAGGCAGTTTATTTTTAAGCCCTGTTGGCCACACCAGAGGGACTTTATCCCCCAGCCAAAGAAACATCCTGACACGGGTGCAAATGCCCCAAAGGAGAAACTATTTGTGCTCAGTGAGGTTGCAACTCCTGCTGCAGAAATGCATGCAGGTGGCTGGGTAGTGTGCCCCACCAACCATGTCCAGCAGCCTGCAGGTTGCTCAGGGAATCCTGTCATCACCCACGAGGTGCGGTGGGCTTGAGGCTTGGGATGATTGCAGCGTGGCTTATCACACACCCCATGGATTGCTCCTGGATTACAAGCTGGTGTACTGGCCCCACAGGGCATCATATGAGATCATTCCCTTCAGTGATTGAAGAATAATCAAATGGTTTGGGTTGGAAGGGACCTTGACCTTAAAGATCATCTGGTTCCAACCCCCCTGCATGGGCAGGGACACCTCCCACCAGCCCAGGCTGCTCCAAGCCCCATCCAATCTGCCCTTGAACACTGCCAGGGATGGGGCAGTCACAGCTTCCCTGGGAAACCTGTTCCAGTGTCTCAGAGGAAAGAATTTCTTCCTAATGTCTAACCTAAATCTCTCCTCTTTCAGCTTGAAACTGTTCCAAATCCAGTACTACATCCAGATCTGGAGCACCCAACACATGAAGGATGTGGATCTGTTGGAGTGTGTCCAGAGGAGGGCAATGAAAATGATCAAAGGGCTGGAGCAGCTCTCTTATGAGGAAAGGCTGAGGGAGTTGGGGCTCTGGGGAGACCTTATAGTGACCTTCCAGTACCTGAAAGGGACCTATAATAAGAAGGCTGGGAAAGACCTGATCACTAGGGCATGTAACAACAGGATGAGGGTAATGGTTTCAAGGTAGAAAAAGGGGGTAGATTTAGGTTGGACATTAGGAAAAAGTTCTTTAAACTGAGGGTGCTGGATCACTGAACAGATTGCCTAGAGAGGTGGTGGGGGCCCCATCCCTGGAGACATTCAAGGTCAGGCTTGATGGGGCTCTGAGCAGCCTGTTCTAGTGTGAGATGTCCCTGCTTATTGTAGGGGGTTGGACTAGATGACTTTAGAGGTCCCTTCCAACCCAAGACATTCTATGATTCTATCCTATTGCTACAGACCCTTGTGAAAAATCCCTCCCCAGCTTTCCTGTAGCCCCTTCAGGTACTGGAAGGTGCTCTAAGGTCTCCCTGGAGCCTTCTCTTCTCCAGGCTGAACACCCCAGCTCTCCCAGCCTGTCTCCAGAGCAGAGCTGCTCCAGCCCTCTGAGCGTCTTCATTTCCCTTCTCTGTACTCGCTCCAACAACTCCATGCCCTTCTTGTGTTGAGGGCTCCAGCAACTCCTTCCTTCCCTGTGTGCACTTGCCAGACCACAGCAAACCCCTGCACACGTGGCAGCTCAGCCAAAAATCTAAGAAACTGGGCGAAAGGGGAATTTCCCCCCTTCCCACTTTGCTGTCCCCATCACCTTGTGTGCAGCATGCAGGGTTTAGGGGTGACTGTCCCCAAATCTTAACCACCTTCCTGCAGCTACCTTAGCCAGTGGCACCCATTTGTTTTGTTCAGGTGTGCATTGGGAGGGTTTCCTTGAGCTCAGAGGACCTCTCTTCCCAGCCCACCAGACCTCAAGGTAGTTTAGGTCTAAGGCAAAACCACACAGCTCCAAGTTCCCTCACAAATGCAGCAACATCCCCAAATGCCTCCTTCTTGAAAGCAGAAGCTGCTTATGCCAGCTCGACCAGCCTGCAGGATGTTGCCTTTTCCCCAGGCACTGATAAAAAGATTAAGTCAAAGCCTTTCTCTCCTGCACTGCAGACACTCATTCCTTATCCCCCCTGTAATTCCTGGCTGCTCCCAGTGCCAGAGGCAGCTCTTTGTGCAGAGCCCAGCATGCTCCAGACACTATGGAAAGATCCTGGGATATTTGGGATGAAAAATCCTCACTGAGGTGCTGGGAGATGCAGGGGAGGTTGTGTCCATCCACAGCTGAGGCCAATTGTATGAACTTCAAAAAGGTCAAGTGTTGGGTCCTGCTGGTTTTGGGTCACAACAACCCTGAGGAACTCTAAAGGCTTGGGGAAGAGTGGCTGGAAAATGCCCAGCAGAAAAGAAGCTGGGGGTGTTGGTTGACAGCCAGCTTCACATGGGCCAGCAGTGTGCCCAGGTGGCCAAGAAGGCCACCAGCATCCTGGCCTGTATCAGGAATAATGTGGGCAGCTGGACTAGGGCAGGGATGTGTCCCTCTGGTGAGGCTGCACCTCAAATCCTGAGTTGCCTTGGGCCCCTCACTACAAGAAGGACATTGAGGGGCTGGAGCATGTCCAGAGAAGGGCAAACAAGCTGGAGAAGGGTCTGGAGCACAAGTCTTATCAGAAGTCACTGAGAGAACTGGAGGTCTTCAGCCTGGAGAAAAGGGGGCTGAGGGGAGACGTTACTGCTCTCTACAACTACCTGAAAGGAGGTTGGAGTAAGGTGGGTGTTAACCTCTTCTCCCAAGTAACAAGCAAGAGGAAATGACCTCATGTGTGCCAGAAGAGGTTTAGATTGGATATTAAGAAAAACTGGTTTGCTGAAAGGGTTTGTCAAGCACTGGAACAGGCTGCCTAGGGCAGTGGTGGAGTCACTATCCTTGGAGGTATTTAAAAGCCATGTAGATGTGGTGCTGAGGGGTGTAGTTTAGCGGTGGACTTGGCAGTGCTGGGTCAATTGCTGGACTTGATGATCTTTAAGTCTTTTCCAACCAAAACAATTCTATGACTCTGTGTGCATCATTGCAAAGCCCCTTGATTTGATGCAGGAGATGCAACAGGAACAGGGAAACTCAGCTCCACCTTTGCCACATCCCAACACCACACCTGGGATCCTCCAAAGCATCCTACCCCAAATGCCAGCAGCAACTGGACCAACCCCAAAATGCTGGTGACAACTGGACACACCACCAGGGGCTGCAGTACCAAAGGGGATGCGCCGCTGCCTCATCCTACTCATCCATATTGCATTTCAACGTTAGCTTTTAGCCCTAAAACACAGAGCTGGGCCCACACCCACCCCTTCCAGCCTCCTTACCTCCAAGAAGGTGTTGAGCGTGGCATTGGTGGGGTTGTGGGTGATCAGGAACCTCATGTTCTTGTAGCAGACCTCTACCGGCGCTGGGCGGTTCATCCGGGCCATGGCGGGATGGTGGAGGGTGAAGGTGGTGCTGAGAAAAATGTGGTGTGGAGAGGGGAAAAAAAAAACAAACCACCAAAAGAACAACCCCTCTGAGCTTCAAAATTCAAAAGAAAACAGGGTTGAGAACTCAACCAAAACAGACGTTGTGCAAAATAAGTAAATCCCAGCTCCTGGGAGAGCGCCGGCTTCCTTGACGCGTCGCAAAGCCTCCCCGGGGGGGAGGAAAACAGCCAGGTGGGAGGAAATAATATTAATGATGATGAGAATAATAATTAAAAAAAAAAAAAAGAAAAAATATACAATAATAATAATAATTAATAATAATAACAACTGAAAAAAAGAATCCCTTTGCTGTAGTGTCGGCGTCCTCGGCGCGCGTGTGACGGCGGCTGCTGCCCCCGGG